ACAAGTATTTGAATTCATTTCTCAATATAACACAACAAGTGTTTTTACACTAGTGCAGAATTGGCTTTTAACGTCCCCCATAGACGTCCGTCCACAAAAGCCCCAACATAGATAAGGGGCTGAAGACAATTAATTCTTCAACCACCCTGTCAGCATCCTAAACGTCCGATATGGGGGGTCGGACGTCTATAATATTATAGACGTCCGACCCCCTCCACCACGGACGTTTAAGGGGCTGATAGGGGGAGTTGAAACGTTCATTTGTTCAGCCTCTTAGACGTTCGTTGTGGAGGGGGACGGACGTCTATAATATTATAGACGTCCGGGCCCCTTCCACGGACGTCTAAAACCCCCCGCGAATATCAATTTTAAATCCCCAAAGACGTCNAGCGTTAGACGTCAAAAGGTTAGTGAATTCAATAAAAATTTGTGCGGGAGATTGAAAATTCATTACTTTATCTTAGCGCGCGAGACCCTTTTCTTCTCTCAAACTTTTCTCAAACGAAGTCTGAAGACCATCACATGTAATCTTTCTTTCATTTGATACAAATGTATGTTAATTAATTAATTTATGTATGATTTTAGTTTGTTTTGACCGATTATTTTCGTGCTCTTATCCTTCATAGGCGCATTCTGTTTTCTCTCTCACATGTGATGACACTTTATTCTGACGAACCCACCTTTTGAAGGTTAGCTTTCATTTTCGTTTTGAAGAACTTATTTGTTGAACTTGTTTGCTGTTTTTTTTTGTTGAACTTGTTTGTTGTTGTTGTTTGGTTGAACTTGTTTTTTGTTGTTATTTGATTGAACTTGTTTGTTGTTGGTTCTTGTTGTTTGTTGTTGATACTACAGTATACATTCATAGTTCATGCTTTATAAAATACCAAAAAATGAAATTTGTTGTTTTTTTGCTTTTCAGGTCTCGTAGAGTTATAAAAAAGGATCACAATTAATTTTAAAAAAGCAAAAAAAATTGATTAATGTCGTATATTGACAAAATTCGACGTTAAGTTAACGTCGTATATCGACAAAATTCAACGTTAATTTAATGTCGAATTTTTTAAATTCGATGTCAATTTAACGTCTCTTGATATGACGTCGTTCGCGAATTCGTCGTTAAAAGCCCAAAATATACAACGTTGTACGCGATTTTTGTACTAGTAAATGGGAGTTTGAATAATGTTTTAAAATCTTTTGCAAACTAATGTTTAATAACTATAGTAGGAGTTGGACAATCTGCAATAATTATTAGATGTATGTTTTAATAAAATATTTAGAAAAACGTTTTAAGCAAGAAAAACAATAGCATAATATTTTTGTACGAGTTTGTTTAACCTGAACTATGTATGACCTCTTAAGGGGTTTTTACTAATCTTTTACAAAGATTATAACGAGTACATACCACTACTGGTATATACCGAGTATTATCAACAGCTCATGGTTCCAACCCTAGTCAACCTAACTAGAACATATCCACACTAGACAACTCCATCTAGAACATTTAACTTCACTGAGTTAAACAATACAAGTATTTGAATTCACTTCTAAATATAACACAACAAGTGTTTTTAGTTTCCTTACAAGACAGAATACAACTCTCGTAGAGAGGATATATGAATAATTCAATGAACTTCTAAAATCTTGTAAAAGTTCTTTCTCTTTAAACGAAGGTTTTAGACGATATGAACTTAGAGATAGAGCAGTGTAATGATTCAAGGACTTGTTCTCTTTTCTTTCTTTTTCTTGTATTTTTTTCTCTTCTTCGAGTCCTCTTTATATAGTCTTTCTCGAGAGACGATCGTTACTCCGAGCTTTGACTTTTTTCTAGGTATGTAACCTTTATGATAGAGTCAAAAGCTATATTGTTTTCTTGTACAACAATTGTGCTATGTACGAATGAGACAGACAAAAGGCATGTATGAAACTTTCTTTTGAATATACTTATGTCTCTAAACATTCTTTTGATTATGAGTAGGTTTTTGAATAAAGTTGATAATCTACACAAAAAAAATAGCAAAACACAACAAACAAAAAGTACTTGAACGTACATGCATTCAAACCGTTAGACGATCTAGTCATTTGATGCGTTAGACAACTTAAGTGCTTATGCGTGATGTTTGATATATGTAATCGTTTAATGCTTGTTTATTTTGAGTATATTGTAAGGACATTTACTTTTACTTGTCTTCAGACGCTTTGTCTTTTTGTTCAGACATTATAGAAATTAGGTGTTCTTGTTAGGAGCTTTATAACATTTAACGCATTTTTAAGTTAATGCATTAGATATAGTTGTGATATCATATATTCATATTTCATTTGATAACATTTAGTGTGTTATAGTGATATCCTAAACTATTCATTTCATTTAGACGTTTATTGGCTTACTACTGTTTGGATAATAAATCTTGATATTCAGTATTAAGTTAAATGTTTACGTAAATGTTTTCGTTATATCATTTACAATTCATGTACGTTAAACAATATATATGTTAAAGTGCTATATTTATAAAAACATTGTAAATTATTATTTCGTTCAAAACACTTTAAATAAACAATTGTATTGATAAATACTTTATTTACTATTATTCTTTAGCCAATACAAATTATTAAATACTTCATTTAATAAATAATATTTCATTGAATTGTACGTTAAATTTTAAAATATAATTTAGTCTCGATTTTGTTTAACAAATTTAATATGTATATGAACATAAGAAGAAAAAAGTTGTAGTTTTAATCTATTAGTTTCACGAATAAGTGAAAATAATAAATTAAAATGAAGTTTCAATTATACGTAACTTTTCATATTTTTTTGTGGAGAAATTTGCTATGTTAATAAATTAATTAATTTGATTTTTATTCAAGTGGATTAATGTTTTATTTTTATGAATTATTTATATCTTTTCCTAATAAATATAGTTTACATATCTTTCACATGTAATTTTTTTTATTAAAGGCTTGTTGTGATTTTCATGCTTTGTATTTATATTTTTATTTTAATAAATTTTTATATAAATATATTTTAAAATATAAATATATCTCACACATCAAAATTTATTATAATGTTTAACAAAAATTTATCTGGAATGGTAAACATAATATTCTGTAATATGTGAAAAATAAATTCTAATGTATATAAATTTAACATTAAAATTATATTTATTTTTAAAATAATAGTATATTCATTTCAAAATTATTAATTAAAATTCGTCCATATCCTTAATAATATATATTACAATCAGAATTTTATAAAAATTATAATAATTTTGCTTATACAAAATAGGGTATGTGGTCCAAATTTGGGAAGATATTTGAAAGCTAACGACGATCTACCAATCTTGCAAGCTTTTGTTACCATTCTAGCAAAGGTACGCGATCCCTTAACCAACCCGTAAGTAATTCTGAAAAGTCTTCGTTTACATTTTATTTTCTAGTGTTCAAGTCACAAACTCTGAATATATATAATCATTTAATCTGTATTAAATAATATATACGAAAAAAAGTTTATTTCTCTAATTACATCTTATTATTTTTACAAATAAATTATTAATTTGGTCAATAAAATTGTATTTCTTTGTTATATTAAATTTTTAAACTAATAAAAAGGGTTATTAACTCTGTAAATTAATAAGAAGGTCTTTCGAGTCAGAAATCAAACATTGACAAATTTCATGAAATTATTGTTTTAGTTTTAAAGAATAATAAGGTGAGTAGGATAAAACTAATATTATTTTCAAAAACATGTTATTAGCACCAACTTGTTGAATCATTTTTAATAAATCAAAAAAATTAAATAAATCATATTAAATAAATCTCACAAGATCAAAATACCAATTAAATTTTAAATTATTATTTTATTTTAAAAGAGTTAATATATCTATTTTCATTCATTTTGTTTATTGTAATTATATTTTAAATGTTTAATATAGTTCTAATTTTGATAATTTATGTTTAATTTTATAATATTTATGGTAACAAAATTCAAGTAAGTAACCTTGTGATCAAAGCATAAAAGAGTTCTGGTAAAGAAAATTAAGAATGTTATTTGTTGAAGTGTAATGACCGACAATTATAACTAATTTCCTTATACCATCTATTATTAACAATTTAAATAACATTATAAAAATATTAAATTAAATATAAATTATCAAAATTAAACATTAAGAAAAATCTCGTCTTAAACAAAATTAAATATAAAATATAAGTTAAATTTCTTTAGTGGTCTCTGTTTATTTAAATTTTTAGTTTGATTTCTATTTTTTTAGTTTGATTTCTGTATTTTTAAAATTTCTAATTAAGTTCTAAATAGTACTAATTGAACATTAGTAACAATTCAAATTAACACTGTTTAAAACACAATTCAAGATTTTAAATGAACTAATATCAAACTGAAAAAACCTACTAAGAAGGACAACTAGTTTAACCTAAAATATATCCAATTATTTAATACTGTATATTAATATATGAGTGCAACTTGGCGGCACATGTTCCCAAAAAGGAAAAATTATCGTACTACGCCTGGATAACACGTGATTTGTATGCAAGGATGGTAAGTTTCACTTTTCTTTTTTTTGTTTTAAAGTAAAATTTCATAATAATTCTTTTAATTATGAACAATAAATAAAGCTTCATATTTATTTTCATTTGTGTCTTATTTCAATTTTCTTGAATGGTGGTTATATTTATAGTTTGATCCTTATCCACTTAAACATTCATTAAATGATATTTAAAAGAACAACAAATAAATATAATACTACCAAACGTTCAATATTAAAAAAATACGTCTCTTCTTCTCTAAACGTTAAATAATAATATGAAAGAATTATAATTATATAAACTTCAAAATAAAATATAAAAAATTAAAAATATGTTAATAACTTAAAAAAAAGCAAGATAAATATATAAATATCCATTCCTACTAAAGTTAGGTAGACAAATTGAAACCACTCCATGTACATAAATACCATTATGTGTGTACACACATCAACAAAGGCAAAGAGTGTAAAATAGAGAATACTTTGCTGTGTTGAAGAGACATCATCTGATATATATATAAAGCTTCATTTATTCATTCATTGTGTGAAGTCATCATCGTTATGGCAACCCTTTTCATGGTTCCTTGCCAGCATCAATTGCTGAAGAAGTTGCAGAGCCATTGCCATCCAAAGCCAGCAGCACCATCAAACTCCATTATTAGGAGTGAGAAAAGTTCTTCATTCATTTTCAGAAGCAATGCCAATGTTCCTTTTCATGAACTTCCTGGGGTGACATATATATTCTCACAACTATATGAACATGAATTTTTAATTTTTTTGTTGGGTTTTTCTGTACTATGTTTCTCCTTTATCTTTAAAATATACTGATAGATACTGAATTTGGTATATATTTTAAAATAATATATCAGTATTTTTAATGTTCAGCCAGGACAACATTAAAAGATTCAACAAAAACTTTCATGATGAATCTAACAGGAAAGTGGCAATGTTCTTTGCAGGCTTCCTTTGATCAATACATGGATGACAAGCACAGAGTTCTGAGAGCTGTGTTTTCTGGTGACAAAGGAACAACTATACAGATAAATGAGGTACTTGGACAAGTTTCATTTCAGATGAACTTTTGAAAAAACAATGTAAAAACATGAATGAGATGGAAAAATGGATTTGAGTGATGATGATGATGAGAAAGTGTTTATGGTGTTATACATGTATGCAGGAAGAATGGAGGA